GGCTGCTTGCTTTCTTGGCCTGCACCCGCCCTTTGCTTCTCTGAGCTCCAGCTGTGGCTTGGGTGTGTGCCATGCAGTCTGCACTCTGCTGTGTTCTCATCTCTTCCTGGGATTGAGTTTAAATTTCAACAATTAGAGCTTGGAGGGCAGGCGCTGGGTCCTAGGAATTATTTCTCAGGAACCTGGAAGTTCAAGGCTCACTGCAGGCACTCGGTGAATACCTGCACATTGTATATGGTCAGCCCGCTGCCCAACTCTGTCTGCACTGTGGTGTGCTCTCTTGTAAGTCTAAATCGTTTGAACCTGGGAACCTACAAGAGTCAACCAGAGCAGAGACAGGGGCAAGAAGCACAGGCAGCTGGGCACAGAGGCATATAACTGTGATCCCAGTGGCTCTGGAGGCTGAGGCAGGAAGATTTTTTGCAAGTTCAAAACCAGCCTCAGCAACTTAGCAAGGCCCTAAGCAACTTAGTGAGACCCTGTTTTTAAGTAAAATATAAAAAGGGCTAGGGATGTGGCTCAGTGGTTACATGCCCCTGGGTTCAATCCTCAGTATAAAAACCAAACAAAAACCAAACCACAACAACAACAAAAACAAACAAGACTCTGAGGAATTTACAGAAGAGTCCAGATCTCTACTTCTGTCATGTCAACCCATCTATAGCAAACTAAGTGAAATAATGAAACCTTTTTCTCCCTTGTGGGGATGGTAATTCCAACTCCTCTGACGGGGTTAAGGAAAAGCAGTGCTAACCCTATATACATTGGCCAAAAACTCGGGCATAGGTTAGACCCAGCAGTTATGCTTCCATTTGCAACTGTATTTATAGAAAGAGAGACTGTCTTACATGGAGGTCAACTTGGAAATGCCCAAAGTGTGGCTGCTGTAAGTACAGGTCAGGGCTATTTCATGGAGTGGGGCTCCCTTCTATGCTCAGTAATCTCTGAGAAAATGCTTCTATTCCATCACCAACTCCTCAGGAAAATGATGGGCATACTCTGAGGACAAGGCACATCTGGCAGTCTGCCTGGGAACACACCCAAGGAAGACAATGGCAGATACAGTCACCCTAAGTAGGTAGCTCTCAAATAACCATGTGTGGCTTATCCTCCTGTGCACATCCAGTGTTTCCTGATTGTCTAGTGTCTGTCTGACACGTGGACCAGAGTTCCTACATGCTGTGTTATATGCAAAAGCATTTTGATATTGACCTTGACCAAAAATTCAGAATATGAAATCAGTTGCATACAACTATAGGATGAATTCTATGACCAAGCAGAAATGATTTGTGGAATAACTACTTTGGGCATCAGAATCGCTGTTCTTCATGGAGGGCCAAGAAGGTATTATTTCCAGTTGAAGTACTATCATTTCAGATTAGGGCTGAAACGATGCCTGTGGGTCTTGTGGTGCAGTGATTTTCTAGTTTGGTCTTAGTAGGAGAACACTTTTGTCAAAGGAAATCCTCCCCAGAAGCCAACACATAACTTGGACGAACTGTGAACCCTTGGTGCCCTGCCTGTGGGGCTTGCTCTTCCACTTGAAATTCTTCGGAGCATGATTGGGAAAGCACGAAGGCATCTCCCTTATCGACTTAAGTCACTCTCTCCCTTGCACAACAGTAGTTTTTGAGCCCCTCTTTGAACTAGGTGATGGGGAGCCAGCAGGATTCAGGATAAAGGTGGTCCCTGCTTTCACTCAGCTCACACTGTGTGGGATAGAGCAAAGCCAAGTTCAGAAGACAGTCAGTGCTCTGAAGAGAACAGATCAGGATGCTGTGATCTAGCTTTAGGTAGAGCAGTGGTCAGGAAAAGCTTCAAGGGAACACTCAGGAACTGAGATCAGAAAGATAATCTTGGAGATGTCCTGATTTTGACCAATGAGGAAGCAGACCCAAAGAGGTGAAGGGACTTTCCCCAGGACACAGTGGGCAGGGAGCCCAGCCAGCACTGGACCTGGGGTTTCCAGGACCCTGTGCCCAGGGCTTTTCCTTCCATAAACGTTGACTAAACACTATTCCATGCAAAAAGCTCTCTGGGATAGGTGACATTCATGGTGGACAAGCCATCCAACCATGTCCTGGTGTTGGGGGTGCTGCCTATGTGTTAATATCCTTCTGCCTCTCCTCAGCTGGGACGGGCACTGGCCCTGGATCTAAAGTCTCTGTACCCTAAAAGACTGAACCCTGACATTAACATCTGGACCCATGCATGACCTTGGTTGAGAAAGCTGCTGTTCTCCTGTCTCCCAGGCTGCAAACTGTGGGGAGTGCTTCATTTGGTGAGTGAAAGATAAAAGCAAGATGAAGAGTGTAAAGTCCCCTGGGTTCATGTAGAAAGTCAAGGTGCTAGGAGCAACTGGAAGGTTTTCCTCAAGGCCATTCGTTTTCCTCTAGTGCTGCAGATGGCATTTGCACAAAAACTACAGGAAACCACACAGGCTTGCACATAGTTTCCACAACAAAAATACAAAAAGGGGCTCTAGGCAGACACTACTGTTATGCTGAAGCAAGATGCAAATGGATCCCTCCACCACCCACAGACCAAACAACTCCAGACCACCAAAGGACTCCCCAAAGCACCAACTTGGCATCTGGGAACCCAGCAGTGCCCCTCATCCTAGGAGCCTTACTATGGCCAAATCACTTTCTCAGGCCCTGCTAATGTGTGACTCTGGCTGCCTTGGAGATAGGAAGGACCATGATTATTGGTCCCCACTCTACAAAGCAACGGAGCCCCAGAGACCTGTCTAGGGAACAGTGCTATGATGTAGGGATGAACACTAAGATCTGATTCAAACCTAGGTCTCCAGACTCCAACGGCTGCTTTTCATTACAATCCAGCTGCCCACTAATTAAACACAGGCCTGCCTAATACCACCCTCATTCTCCCCGCCATCCCTCGGCTTCCACCCTATATCCTCTAGTGTATGCTTAGGAGTTTTCCAGAAGCTGCTCCCTTCTTCCCACATCGCCCTTCCCCAGTAGGTGCCATGTGCTAGAGTCCTCTGGACACTTTTTCCTGCGCTGGCAGCAGTCTAGACCCAAGTTAAGATGCTTTCCTGCCCACCCCAACTGGGCCCTCCTTCCTTTCTTATTTTCCAGCCAATTCACACATGTGAACCCTGCACATACTGTGGGTGAAAACCACACATCTCAGAGCGTTCTCTGCTCTTCCTTCTTTCCATAGAGCCACCCAGTTGCAGGCAGGAGGATGGGCATGCACACCCAGGTGACAGGACCTGCAGAGCCATGCACCCACAAATACACAGGCATGCCCAGGAAGGGAGACAGACTGCTGAGAACAACCCTATGTCTGTGCCAGACCCAGCAGCTGCCAGCATTTAGCAGACCCTGTTTTGCCTGGGGTACTGCAGCCAAGGACTGTACACTTCTAGCTAAGATGACTCTGGGCCTGTCACCTCAGCTAACACAGAAGAGGCAGCTACTGTCATTAAGAGTGGACAAAGAGAGTGACATTTTGAGGAGGGACAGTCATGAACGGGGAACCCTGGACTACACAAGGCCCTCGGAGGCCCAGGCTTCCCCCTAAAGACAAGAGCAGAAAGGCAGACTCGGAGCCCAGATATGGACCCCAGTGCTAAGCACCCCTACAGACACCAATGTGGGCACGCACCCACCGTGAGTGACCGGAGAATTCCTGCCCCCTTTTCTCATCCACAGCCACCTTAAACCCTTGCCGCCAGCCCCCACCCTGGTGCCTGCAGCGGTCCCGCTCTGGAGCCACAGGGGCGCCTCTCCAGGGTACCCCCTCCCCAGCCCCTGCAGGGCGCGCTTCTCCAGCGGCCACCTGCACTTACCAGGCCCCAAGGCGCAGGGTTCTCAACGCCGCGAGGGAGCGCGAGCCTACGGGGACCAAGAGCACGGGTGCCAGCGCCCGCCCGCCCACCGCCCGTCGGCTCCGCGCTCCTTCCCTGCCACCTGGAGCCGGCTGCGTGCGGGTCCCCGCTCTGCCCTGTGCTCCGCGCCGCTGCCTGCAGCTCCTCACCTCGCTCGGCTCTGCTCCCAGGCGCCCCTCTCTCCTCCACTGGCCGGCGGGACGCGCCCAGAACCCGGGGGGCGGGGGCCTCTCTTTGTTCGGGAGTTTGCCTTTCTACATTCAGAGCACACAGAGCAACCGAGTGGGATCAGGGGCAGCTGTGCTGTTGCCTGGGGGAAGCTTACGAGGTGGGCGTGGGGCAGGGGGAAGAAACTGGGTGTGTGTGTGCAAGTCTCCCTGCCCCCGCAGCCCCCACCCTGCTCCCTTTCTTGGCTCTCACTCCCAGGTCCTCTACTTAGGTCAGGCCCCCTGGTGGAGTGAGGAAATCCACCGTCCTAGGAGAAATTGGTTCTTGGGGTTCCCTGGGCATCCTAGGGATAAGCCTCTTTAATCACAAATGGAGCCTCTCTACTCCCCCCACCCGAGACACACAAAAGACTCCACCACGGACTGCCCTGTCCCTCTCAGAGTCCTGTGGACCATCCGCTTTATACTCCCTGGCCTGGGGATAATCAAGATCTCTTCCTAGAGTGCAAGGAAAAGGAAGGGCACCCAGCAGAGTTCCTGGTCCCCTGCCAGGTGGAAGTGCAGAGGGAGCTTTCTGGCAGTGGGGCATGCGTCTTGTGTCATTTCCCAAGTGAACCAGGGCCTGGTGAGGACCTAGCCCTGCTCTTTGGAAATGTAACTGCAGTGGGCGAAGGCACTCATTCCCCAGCTTGCTAGGTCAGGGAAGCCACTGGAGGTAGGCAACTTTGAGAGAGCCACTGGCTACTGCAGTACCCGTGTCCTAAATACCCCAGCTAGCTGCCCAGAGAGGCTGACCACGGAGTGTTAGGCGAATGCTCTGGTCTGTCCTCTCTAAAAATTACATTGTACTTTGGCCCCTGTGTGACCTGTTGAGGAGTGGTGGCACCTTTGGAGGTGTTTGCATCATGAGGGCTCTAATGCTGCTTCCATGGAGCTGAGCTAATTTTCTGGAAACATTTTTGTTCTTACAGGATGGGATCAGTTACCTTGGCGAGAAAGTTGTTGTAAAGCACAGCACCTCCATGTCTCCCTGCAGGAGCACCAAGGGCAATGTTTTCCTTTTCCCCTTTCCTGCTGTGACATGGCATGAAGCCCTGCCATGGCTTCTCATTCTTGGACTTCTCAGTCTCCAGCACTACGAGCCAAACAAACTTTATAAACTGCTTGTCTCAGGTATTTTGTTACAGCAACAGAAAATGGACTAAGACAATGTGAATCTCAGAGGAGATGATTGCAGTAACTCCTGAGTGATGAAGAGCTGAACAGGGGGATGGAAGCTCAAGACGCAGTGGCGGGGAGTCTGCAGACCTCTCTAAGTATGCTGTGGAAGGAGGGCTGGCAAGGAGGTGTCTCAGGAAGGGGGCCATGGTGGTGCTGTAGCCCAGGGGAGTCTGAGGAGGGCCTGGCTGGCCTGAAGCTGAGTTCGGCAGTGGCTACTTGAGTTGGAGAAGCAGGTGATTCTGGAGATCTTAAAAGAGGGGCTGAGGCAAAAGGTGGAGATTTTGGAATCATCTGAGATGGAGCTGAGCTGATGAGAGAAGGTGAGATGAGTGGAATGTGGAAAAGGAAGAGAAGACAGGGACTGAAAATAGGACCTAGGTCTAAGGAAGAAACGAAGTCAATGAAAGAGTTGAATCCTTCAGGAGAGAGGATGAAGGAGGCTCAGGACTAGGGGAGGCCACAGAACTCAAGAGAAGAAGGGGTGTTCAACAGGGGCCCACACTGCAGGAGCACCAAGGAGCAGGGGGCTCATGACAATGGGGTTAGATTTGGAAATGAGAAGACCTTTGCAGACTTTCCAAATAATGGCTTAGTGGGGGGGTTGCATTAGCCAGACGGCCACTGGTTATGGTTTAAATCTTACGTGTTCTACAAAGGCCATACGTTGGAGGCTCGGTTGCAGCCAGTGGTGCTGCAGGGAAGTGGTTCAACCGTTAGGAGGCAGGGCCTAGTGGAAGGACGTCAGGTTGCTGGGAGCATGTCCTATAAGGGGGCATTGGGACCCCAGCCCCTCCCTCCCTCCCTCCCTGTCCCCCTCTCTCCCTCCTTCCTGGATGCCTTGTGTGAACAGCTCTGCTCCACCATGGACTCCCCTCCATGATATTCTGCCCCACCACAGGTCCAGAGCTATGGAGCCAAGGGATGGTGGACTGAAACCTCGAAATCTGTGAGCCAAAAATAAATCTGTCCCTCATCAATGATTTATCTCAGAGATTTTCTCACAGTGATGGAAAGTGACTAACTTGCCACTCCTTGGAGGGATATCTGGATTCTGGATCCTGGATCCATGTGGTTGATGCAGGGATAAAAATGTACATCTACTTGCTTCAGTTTCAAGGGACTCTGAAGGGTCACCCCAACCCCACAGCTTCCCAAAGGGTGTGTCGAGGCCTGTGTGGAAACCTCATCTCAGTTCAAGTTCATTCTCTATCTGATCTTGTTTTCCTCTCTCTGAAGATGTTAGGCCCAGAAGTACCCTTCAGTAGACCTCCTGCCTACCGGCCTCCTGCCCGTGCAGAGTCCCTGTCCTACAAACCCAACCTGAGAGATAGGGTCACTGAGAGAGGGGAGGGGCACAAAGGAAAACAGTAGGATAGCAGTAAGAACAGAGGTGAAGTGACCCTAGCATGAGCACCAGGGAGTGAAGGCCAGACAGACCCCTGGACTGGAGGCTCTTCCCCTTGATGAAACTGTAATGAAGCCGTTTCAGGAGACAAGGGTTGTTAAAAAAGATCAAGGAAGGCCGTGTTACAGGAAAAGACTGAGAAATGGGCAGCATAGAGGGTGTTATTTGCAGTAGGCTATGGGTGATCAGAAGCCAGGCGGAGAAGGTGGTAGGCTTCTGCAGGAGAAGAACGCTGGGGTGGAGCAAGGATGAGGGTACATTGGTATTCCTTGAAGTTAATAATTTAAAAATAGCAATTGGGGGGCTGGGGTTGTGGCTCAGTGGTGGAGCGCTTGCCTAGCATGCACGAGGCACTGGGTTCAATCCTCAGCACCACATAAATGTAAAATAAAGATATTGTGTCCAACTAAAAACTTAATATATATATATTTAAAAAAAAGAAAATAGCAATTGGGAAAGAGAGAGTTGGAAGAAGACCCACAGGGACTTTTTTTGTCATATGAGAGAGCAAATGAAAAATGAACTTTGGGGCCATAATATTCCCTCTCCAGTACTATCCCTAGTAACATTATACATCTAGAGTAGTGAACCGGTAGAAATATAATGTGTAACTAAAATTTACCCAGGAGTCATGCTTTAAAATGTGAAAATAGAAGTTGGGGGGAGCGGAGAGATGATAATCCAAGGGTACGAAGCCTCAGGAGGAAGACATTGAAATTTTTAAAAGATGTGTTGCACAGTGTAATGAGTACAGCTAATGTCTTAGTTTTCTGTTACTATCACAGAATACCTGAGACTGGATAATTTATAAAGAGGTTTATTTTGCTTATAGTCCTTAGAGGCAGGAAGCCCAAGACTGAGTGGCCACCTTGGCTTAGTTTCTGGTGAGATGCTGCTTCAATTCATGGTGGAGCACAAAAGGCAATTCGAGCATGTGAAAAAGAGAGTGAACAAACAGGGCCAGACACTCAATCACAACTCACTCTCTCAAGTCCATTCCAGAAGAACTAATCTCATCTCTTAAGAAAGACCTTCATCCCTTTTAGAAGCTTCATCTGCCAACCTTTACATTGGCAACCATATTTCAACCTGACTTTTGTTGAAGGTCAACTATATTCAAACCATAGCAGCAAATAGTTGAGCACTGAACATTTCAGTGTTACTAAGGGTAAAGCTTGAATGTTCTCATCACAAAAAGTCAACTATTTAAGATACAGGGTAGGTTAATTAGCTTTATTTAATCATTCCATGCTATATTAAAAATCATAACATCACTGTACCCCATAAATGTACGCAATTACAATTTGTCAATATGATAGAAAGAAACACAATGTAAAAAAGTGAGATTGATTTAAATAGTGTATTTAAAATATTATCATTTTGATAGGTGCTCAAATAAAAAATGAAGAATGAGATATTTTACACTTTTTCCCCCCTACCTAAGTCTTTTAACTCTGGTGAGTGTTTTACATTAACAACTCATCTAAGACGATACACTGAATTTTCACTGGGAATACCAGATCTGTATTTAGATTTTATAACATTTAGAGACAAGAAGTAGAATTACAAATCTACTAACTTGTTAAGTTGCTCCAGACATATTTGAGTTTTTTAATAACAAAAAAATTGAATGATCAGTGTTTGAATTTAAATTCCAGTTAATTTAAATTGAATGAAAATTTCCATATTTTATAGGAAAATAAAATATAGCATTATAGCTGTACATAACGATGGGACTGGTTGTTACGTATTTGCACATGTACACAAGGCCACAGTATGATTTGGTCAGTATCCCTCCTCCGCACTCCCCCCTCCCTTCCCTTCTCCCATCCCTGGGTCCCTTCCCTCTACTGATCTCCCTTGGATTTTTATGAAACCAACCCATCCTTCTTTACCTTTTCCCTCTCTAGCTTCCTGCATGTCAGAGAGAACATATGACCCTTGACCTTATGAATCTGACTTACTTGGCTTAACATGGTTCCTGCACATTAACACAATTTCATTTTCCTTTGTGACCGAATAAAACTCCATGGTGCCTATAAACCATGATTTCTTTATCTATTCATCTGTTGGTGGACACCTAGCTGGTTCCATAGTCAAGCAGAATGAAATTTAGAACTTTAGTCCTTCCCTTGCACTTAGCACATCTCCAGTGCTCAGTGGACCCCTGCGACTGGTGGTTACCGTAACGGAGCAGGGCAGGTCTAGACCACTAATTCCTAGACTTTGGGGTTTGGTCCTGGCTCTGTCTTCACCTTTCCTGGGGGAATGGGCCTCCACTCCCCCAGAGGACTGCGCCATTAGCAAGAACCTAACCTGTGCCCTGTCACTTCACAAACATGCTTGAAGAAGAGGAGGGAGAAGATTGAGGATCTGACATCTATGAAAGGGGAATAGAGGGTTCGACCCAGACTAGAAGAGTGAGGAAAATGAGATGAGTTGGAAGAATTTCATTTTGATTGTGAGTGTTTGTATGAGGACCATGGTTTCTTTGTCAAGTTGGGCACTCAAGAGATTGAATGAATAGGGCACTGTAATAATACACAGGGCCCTCTTGCTTATGCGACCTCCCTTTTAATAGTGTCTCTTGAGCTCTGAGCCTTGACTGGGTTGCAAACATGGGGATGTAGCTGTTTAATTTGGACCTGGTTTACTGCATATGCAAAAGAGGGAGCATAGTCCCGTGTGTTTCTGTTTTTGTGTGTGTGTGTGTGTGTGTGTGTGTGTGTGTGTGGCCAGTGAAATTCCAAATATGAAGATACAGAAAAGGAGAAATATTCACCCCATATTTGGAGGCCCATAGCCCATCTTCCACCACTGACTTGGTGCCTGCAATTTTTGCTTTCAGTCAACTCTCTGGTATCACATGCCTTTTTTAAAAAAGACGGTTTTAGTTGTTGATAGACCTGTATTTAATTTATTTATTTACATGTGGTGCTAAGAATTGAACCCAGTGCTTTACACATGCCAGGCAAGCGCTCTACTACTGAATCACAACCCCAGCCTGTGTATCCCATGCCTTTTTAAAATATCAGACAGGGATGTACTGTGTTGGTCAGCTTTCTGCAGCTATGACAAAATGCCTGAGATAGTCAACTTAAAAGGGGGGAATTTGTTTTGGCTCATAGTTTCAGATGTTTCATTGGCTGGTTCCATTGCTTTTGTGTATGTGGTGGGGAAGAACATTGCAATGGGTTGTTCATGGTGGAGCAGAGTTGTTCACTTCATGGCAATCAGGAATAAGTAGAGAAAAGAAGGAGCCAGGAGTGCAATATCCCCTTCAAGGGCAGGCCTGCAGTGACCTGACTTCCTCTCACTGGGCCCCACCTCCTAAAGTTCCACCACCTCCCACTAGTGCCATCAGATGGGGACCAAGCCTTTAGCACATGGGCCTTTGTGGGACATTGAAGATTCAAACCTTAACATCTGCCATGGGATGTGGGAGTATTGGATTGCAGAGCCTCTTTTAGGGATGAAATAATAATCATTCTTAGACTTCCTTCCTTTATCTAAAGTGGCCCACATCTATTGCTACTTGGAGGCACAAGGCAGATTGTGTGGGACCCCTCCGTATCTACACAGGGGCTGATATCCTTTCTCCCCAGCCATGTCATCTATATCCAATTCTAGAGATGGAGTCACAGAAAGGACTACAGTAGTGTTGCTTTTGTTTTGTGCATGGTCACACATACATGGGACACTGAGGACTGTGGTCTCTTGTTGTTGAAGCCCAGGATACAGAGCCCGCTAGCATTCAGGTTGTACTATGAGCCCTCTCAGGTCAGGAGCAGGATTCTCTCTCTGGGTCATAGGCCTGTGTTTCAGAACGATTTCCAGTCACTCTCTAGGAGAGTTGCAAGGCAATGCAGGTTCCCTTGGCAACCTCAACTCCTGCCTGCCAGCCCTGCTTGGTTAAGCTGCTGTCTTGACGTGGCCCAGGGAGACTCTTTGTATAGACTCTCCATTGAGCCATTCTAGCAAAAATCAGTCACATTCTAGGAGATGGAAACACCCAGGTAGCCCTCTCCATTGGATACACATCATCAGAGACAGCTTGTCCGACTCAACTGGTTTATTCATCTTTAAAGTGGGGGAGAAATGCCTCCCAAGATCGTTTCTGCCCTTGTGCAGAGACGAGACTGGCCTTGGCTTCATCATGCATCTTAGAAATATGGGTAGATAGCCTCTGGCTGGCACCTTTTCTTCTTCTGGAAGGACTGAGAAATTACCAGATATTAAATATTGATCAATGACGACTAGCTTCAATTTTCAACCTGTATTTAACCATGAACTTGATGGCCGAGGCTGCTTGTTTTTGCAAGGTGATTAAAAGGAAAGAACTGATTGTGGAATCACAATCTCAGTCTCATTCCCAGGAGACAGCTGTTACACCAGAAGCAAGAGTTTTTCAGCTGCTCTGAGGCACACTTCCAATGACACCAAGAACATTAGTTACACTAATTAGTGCTTGAAATAATTATTGATCTTATCAGCAGTGTCGAAAGCCTTGCTCAAATGTCCCACTGCTTGCCAGGCTCCCTTGACATTCTGTGTAAAGGACTTCACAGCCTGGTTCTTTCCCAGGAGAACTTTATTTAAGGCAAAACACAGAAAAACACATTTAGGATACAGCAAACAAATACAGACAGCTAAGCAAATATATAAATAACGTGAAAATAGATGCTTCAATACGTGCAGCTGGAAAATTTGGGTTCATGTAAAACATGCAGCTAATCCTCTCTGATTTTCTTTAGAAAGTTTTTACAGCCTGTTTCTACAACTGGGGCTGGGGGAAGGCTCTCTGCACCCTTGTGCACAACTTCAAAATGTGCAAAGCAAAAATGACAGCACAAGTAAGCCAAAAACGCAAAGGACTTAGAGGGGCACTGTCCATTACAGTAGTCACTACTGCCCAGCATGACCACTAGTCACAGGGTTATGCACCACTTCAACTAGAGCTAGTCCAAACTGAGATGTGCTATAAGGGAAAACATACATTGATTTTCAAAGAATTGGTGCAAAAATATAAAACATTTCATTAATATTTTAAAACATCAATTACATGTTGAAAAGATCTTATTTTAGATATGATATAAACTCTATTAAAATTAATCCCACCCCTTTGTTTTTACAGTCCTTATTGTAAAGTGGCTACTAGAAAATTTCAAATAACACCTGGTTTATGCTATATTTTTAATGGACGATGCGAGAGAGGGTTTAAATTACCATGAACTATAAATTATTACAAATATGAACCAAATAAAATAGGAACTATATAGAATATGGACTATATAAAAGAAACATTTTGACTTTAAATTCTTTTTAACTATTTGGGTTTACATTCTTTTCAGTCATGCAGTATTTATAATTGATCAGTTATCTGATCATAGAAAGACCTCAAAAATGTCTATTTTACAGGCTGCTATCTAAGCATAATTTTTTCTTTTTCTTTTTCTTTCTTTCTTTTTTTTTTTTTGGTAGCAGGGTTGAATTCAGGGGCACTTGACCCACATCCCCAGCCCTATTTTGCATTTTATTTAGAGACAGGGTCTCACTGAGTTGCTTAGTGCCTCACTTTTGCTGAGGCTGGCTTTGAAATTGCGATCCTCCTGCCTCAGCCTTCCAGGCAGCTAGGATTATAGGCATGCACCACAACACCTGGCTTAAGCACAATGTTTTTTTTTATTTTGCAGCTCAAATGGAAATACTCGCCTATTCTAATTACTGCTGCCCTCCCTAGTGGCAGCAGGGAGGTCCCTGTGCAGGGCAAAATCTGTGGGTAGCATGAACTTCATGATAGGGACTCTCTATCTCTCTTGGGGGCACAAGTTATCTGAGGGTCTGCACTGCTTCGTAGTCCCAGCTCACAAGATTTGACCAGTTAGAATTCCCCTTTTGGAAAGCAGCGCTAATAGCTTTGGCTTTGGAGGGAATCCCTTGCCTCCAGATTTCTCTGTGTGTATGGGACTAGGAGGGTCAGGCCTGACGACTGGCCTGGCTGCTCTGAATGATTTGATATTACTGAGGTCCTGAGCTTTCTTCTCCACACAAACTTCACCATTTTGAACTCAGGGGTGCTCTGAAACTATTCTTACCCTGTATAGTTTATCCTACTCATTTTTGGCCTTGAGTTTTATTTGTTTTTCCTCTCTTTTCTTCATCTATTGAATCCCACTTAAAACAATCATCCTTAATATTTCTAGTCTTCAAATAGCATCCTTCCTTGATTTCCAGCAACATTATTAATTTACCTTTTTTTTAACAATAACATTTCTTCTATTTAAGGGTGAGGATGTATGGTATCTTGTCTGACATCTTGGTCCATCATCAGATGTCAAGTTGTATATATTTATTTTATAACCAGTGACCTTACTAACAACACTTTTTGTATGGTGATGAACACTGATATATCATTAAGAAGAAAGCATATGACCATAACAGACCCTTTTTGTTATTAGGGACATTTTGAGGACAAATTTTTGTAGCTAAAAAAAACAGGGGTTGGGGAGGATTTTGACTGCTTTGAATTGATCTCTCAACCTCTCTCTCTTACCCAAATAAATAAATCCCATTCCAATAGAGATGAGATGTTCTAGTAAAGCCTCCTGGGTCCCTTAACTTTAGGCAGTGCTGGCTTCCCAGGTGTGCATCCTGTGCCGTCCCACAGGGACCTACCCACAGGTGGGTCTGGCTCTCCACTGAACATTTTTCTGTTGCCATCTTGAAATTCCTGATGATTTTTGAACAAAAAGAGGCTCCATCTTTTCATTTCTCACTGAGTAACTACTCTGAATGTGGTTTGTTCAGCAGATCCTGGTCTTGGCATTGCTTAACAAATTCTTGGTTAGTGTTACGCGTTTCCCACTCCAGTTAAAAGAATGAGACGTGCGGCATTCCCTCACAGACAACCCAGGACAGCTCTGCGGTGCGTGCCTCTGCACACTCTGGGGATGGATTTGGGGGAGGCAGATGATGAGAGCCAGTCTTGCCAGTGTTCTTTTGTGAGCTGGCTTCTCTCTCACCTCTTGACGCTCTTTCCACTTCCTCTTCAGTCCACACCACAGCTTGCCATTCGATATGTAAAGCCTGTTCATTTTTCTGCACATTCGTCCAATTGGCTCTGGGGGCTTGCGATGCCCTTCCCCCCAACTCCTACTCCATTGCAAAATTTGCTTCAGTTATCACCTCGTTTGGAAACTTTCCTTGGCCTCTCTAGGTAGCTCTTTGAATCTCACATCTCCAAGAAGAACTTAATTGTGGAGTGGAAATTATTTTATACACCCCCCCTTTCCACGAGATGGATGGTTCCCAATCTTTTTTGTAGATGTTTACTTTAATATTTTTTTTTTGTGGCACACTCAAAGGCCTTAAAATACTAAAAACACATTAAACAAGTCAGGAATAATTACAATGCAATTACTGCCGCAGTGTAACGGGGTCTCACAGTGACTATAAAGTATCGTGGTTGCTGTGCTATGCCTTGTTCTCCCTTTAACACTGGTTTTCTGTTCCGAATATGTGCTCTGGTATATCTCACGTGTTCCATTTTGTTATATTCCAATAAACACCAAGTCGGCCAGTTATTATATTTCTAATATCCTCTCATAGCCAGTGTGCCTGTTCTCCACTGTCAGGTGACTCATTTGGGTCTGTGCTGCTTTGCACTGACATCAACTAACATGCATATTCTATTAGAAAAATAAATATATACTAGGCTTGGACTGAAATTTGGCAGCCCACTGTGATCACCAAGATCAGTTGCACAGATTGTTAACTGCACTATGGTGCTCAGCTAAAGGGGAATGGAAATCAGTGCTTGCTAGACTATGTGCCCCCAGGACTGCATCTGATCAGAAAGGATACATTTTCCTAATTTGCACAACAGGTTCCATTTGGACTAATGATGCTCTGATTCTGGGCATCCTGGGGTGCTATAGCAGGTCTGTTGGGAATTGCTGGAGAGCAAGGAATGGATTCTAGCCATCTCTACTTCCTGTACTTGGTCCAGTGCTGAACAATATCAGATCTTAATAAATGTGGAATAAATTATGAAATAATCAAGAGGCTCTCTAGGTGGTGTGCAACACAATTTGGGGCTGGTCTATAAAGTTGTTAACATAAATGTTCCAATCTGGTCTGCTGTTTTTTGTTTGTTTGTTTGTTTGTTTTTGGTACCGGAGATTGAACTCAGGGGCCCTCGACCACTGAGCCACTTTCCCAGCCCTATTTTGTATTTTATTTAGAGACAGGGTCTCACTGAGTTGCTTAGTGCCTTGCCATTGCTGAGGCTGGCTTTGAACTCTCGATCCTCCTGCCTCAGCCTCCCGAGCAGCTGAGACTGCCAGTCTGCACCACCGTGCCTGGTATGGTCTGCTGGTTCTTAAATGTCCTGTGAGATATAATGTGGTAAAATTAGAGCTGACCTGCCTACCCCACCCCAATCATTCAGAGCCCTGGATCCTGCATATCTGTGCTGAAGTTCACACAACTCCTTGGGAATGTGCCAGGCTCCAGGAGTCATTCACCCAGTGGCTGCCAAGGAGAGAAGACCTGGGCACCACTGCTGCCATGTGCCTCCTGCTTGTCAGCCCTGGTTTCCTTCCTGGTGCATGAGAGATGAGCACAGTTTCAGAAACCAGCCCCCAGGGAGAATCTGAAATCCTCCGGCTGGATGTTGGCGTACAGGCCACCTCGTCTAACCCCATCGACAGTCAGGAGATGGAGACCTGGAGGGGAAGTCACAGATGAGTCGTTGGCAGAATGGCAGCCAGATCCCCAGGCGAGGCCGCTCCCTCCTGGGATCTTGTTCCGCCTTTCCTCCCTCCTTTCGTTCTGGCCCACAGCAGTTTCCCTCCCCAGCCTCCCTGTGAGCTGCTCTCCATGGTTTCCTAATCCTACTCTCAGATGGCAGAGCCACGCCCCAGCAGAGGGGGACAGCGCATGGCCATGTGCTTGGTCTCCTCCCCAGCCTGCAGAGCCGAGTGCCAGATGGAGCCTCTGTCTGGTGACATCACGGAGTGCTGCTGGGTTTTGGGAGCACTCTCGGCCAGATTCTCCCCAGGAGGGAGGCTGGGGTGAGGGTGTCGGCTGGGTGAGAGGACTGCCACGGAGGGGGAGCCACCAACATCTGGCTGCGGGTCAAGTGCAGCATCAGAAGCAAACCCCCCCCCCAGTCTCCACCACACACCCCACCGTCTCAGAAATGTTGCTTGTGAAGACTTGAAGGGGACCGGGTGGGGCCAGCAGGCAGGCTGGGAAGCCTGCACATGGGGTCTGGCCCTGTTCCAGCTCAGGGTCTGGGGGCACCTGATGAGACTGGGGGGTTTCAGTCACACTCCCAGGCTGGCCGGGGGTCTGCTGGCCTGCCGTGCGTGGGACCCTCCAAGGACATCTGGGCAGCAGAGTCAATCTCTGGTGGCTCATCTGGGGACTCGAGGGACCGTGTGCTTCCTTCTACTTGATAGATGGGTGAAGCTGAGCCTTCTGGAAAGAGGAAATGGTTCCCCGACGCTCACAAAAGCAGTGGACCCTGGGTGAGAAACGGACAGGGATTCTATGCTGTCTCTGGCTTCCATCTCTTCTTCCACTGAAGATGCTGGCGCTTGGGGTTATCTGCTTGCACGTGGAGGGGGCAGAATGTAGGACTCATCTTGGAGGTCATAGGATGAGAGAGAGGCAAGGCAATGAGTCCCTAGGCTTCCCTTGAAGAGAGATGGGAGGGGAGAAAGAGGTGGGAGGACATTTTAGTCAGCTTTTTCACTGCTGAGATTCAAAGACCTGAAAAGAGCAATTGTAGAGGAGGGAAAGTTCATTTGGGAGCTCCTGGTACCAGAGGTCTAGGTCCACAGACAGCAGGCCCCATTCCTCAGGGCTCAGTGAGGCAGAACTTCATGGCAGAAGAGTGGGGCGGAGGGAAGTGGCTCCCATGATGATCAGGAAGCAGAGAGAGAGATTCAGATACAGAGTTGGTCAGATACAAAAGATATACCCCAAAGGCCTGTCCCCAATTCCCACCTCCCCCAGCCACACCCTACCTG